AATAGTTGTTTTAGTATATACTACAACAGTGAGATAATATACACCACCAAAAATTGATTTTAATTCATACGATTCCAACATTTCAACATTTTCCCGCGCGTAACGATCCAACGCGGCTCGCATTGCGGTAAGTGGTTTTTTGTTGTAAAAACTGCCGTGTCGTCTTTTCGCTGACAGATAGAATTTCTGAAGACATTTTGTTTAGCTCTGGTGGCGACATTTCTTCAAATGGTGTTGCAAACTCTATCTGTATTTGAAACCATTCTGTAAAAAATACCATTCAACTTTGATTTTCAAGTAAACAAGTGAGGTTACGCAAGATTAATTTGCATTTGTAAACAAAACCTTTTTCACGGGTTTTTATCGATAAACTCCCGGTTACCATTACCTTTAAACACAGCCAAACCAAATTAAGTCCCTTTCTCTGTGTTTTCAGGGACTGCTTCGTTGTTATTTGAGTGATTTATTCGCTTGTCACGGATGCAAACCGGCGCGCCACTTTTTCTCGAGTTGCTCGGAGGTAAATAGCAAAGGATATTCGGAGTTTGACTAGCCAATCAGAGCGCGCCTTCAACGCTATCCACTGTTTTAGTATATATTAATAAGATATATATATATCGAACTGTTGTTATGATCTACCCACAATTCAAATTACTCGTATCGGATCCAAGCTCCTCGCAGCCTGACGCCGCCATTTTGCACCCGATTCGCTCGAAATTAACCGCTTACATGCGGATTTAATTAGCATCAAATTAACGCATAGAAGCGGTCAAAGTAGGGCGTATTTACCTATCGTAAGATGAAGGAAATCCAGGCCTGGTATCACAGCCAGCTAACCCCTTGAAACGCGATTTAGATACCATTACGTCTCCTAAACGAGACTTTAGATCGAAAAAAAATTTGAATTTAGTAACTTTCAAAGGAGGAAAAGCTGTGAGGAAGGCGAAGTTTAGTGTTCCTGTTCGATGTGCCGCCCAGCAATTTATTGATTCAACGCCTGTGGCCGCCGGATCTTCTTTGAACGCGGGCTGAGGTTATTCTCCAGATCAAGAAGACCTTCCCCATATTGACAAACCTCATGGCTTAAGAACTAAAAAAAGATCAAAGGTTACAAAAGTACGGCTGAGGCGCAAGCTGAAAGCTTACCATGAAAGGAAAGCCACGCTGGCTGCGTCCTGGCTCAATGCAAGAGAGCTGCTTGTCTCAGCACTCTTGACAAGACAAGCTTTGCCTTTGGAGCAGATGTGTGTCATTCATTTTTGCGAAGAAAAGGCATGCGGCAGATGCCTTGACTGCAGTCCTGGGCACTTTATGTTTGAAAAGCACATCAATTTGGTTCACGCAGGAGGTAGATCACTTCACCACCCAGAAGTTTGGAAGGTGAATTTAAGTTTTTTGGAGCACAATCTCGTCAGCTTCCTTTAAATATTCAATTATGTTGTGAAACCCAATTTCATGTCTACTCTGGCCGTGTGCCAGTTTCGTTTGTTGTATGTTGTCTTGTGGTTTTATTTCAGGGCGGCATCCTTTCTTCTTTTTTCTTACTGTTACTGCACTATTACTTTTTAAAACTTATGTAGTTTTTCTCAACTTCAATGTGTATTATGTCAGTAAAACCTGTCCCATTTTTATACAGAGGAAAAAGCGAGAGCAGGGAGCATTATGTTTTCTTGCAAATGTACATGTAATTTTCCCTGGATTGAGAACGTAGTTAAGTCCGTTTTTGGAAATTTTGAAAGAGTTGGCTGATTTAAGGGGTATGTGATTTATAGTCACCTAATAACAAAGGATATAATATACTGTTAGGATGAAAGATTTGTACCATATCAGTTTGATGAGTGTGTCTGGACTGCACCTCACAACTTGGATCATGGATATGTGCGTGATATTATAGCTGTTGGTTTGCATGGTAAGTAACTGACAGCAGTGCAATTTGTAACTATTATA